GGGGCGGGGCGGAGATAGCATTCATTATCGCGATGCCCAGACAGCGAGTCCGCTTGGAGGGCATTCGTTGACGGGGTGCTGTATCATCATTGAAATGCCATTATTCATTGTCATTCACATTGCGCATTGCGCTCACTGTGTGTGTGTGCATAGAATATCGTCTATGCTGAAGCGTCTCCGTGTGTCGTTGAACGTGGACTATAGAATTATAATTATGATAAGCTTGTCTGCTGTTTGTTACTTCATTTTATTGTGTGAATGCGATAGACGAAGAGTCAGCTACCAAATTACATGAATGAACACATACCGATGTGGCTAAATCAAGTGATGGACAGCAAGCTCGGACCAAAAATACCAATTATCAGACAAGGAAAACTGAACTCAGATTATGCAACATGCCTAGGTGAGTAGAAATCGTGATAACCTCAGCTACTCCTTCCTAGTCCTGTCATTAGTAGACAACATCAAGCTATTCAGGTAGGCCAAAACACTAGATTTTAGGATCGTCAAAGTGAAATAAGTTAACCGCGTAAATAGCTGATCAGTTCAGCTCTTGTTAAGTAACCAACGCTTTCTTCGCTTTCCTTTTCCTCAGTGACCAATAGCATGGACTGGTCGACTAGACGTTTACACACATACGCAAAGAAAAAGGTCATATCCAGGATGCAGAGAAAACCCAGTGGGGTGAAGGCAACACAGAACTTTACCAACCTCAATACCTTGATATGAATACTTTGTTAGGCTGTATCGTACAAGCAAGAAAACTGGCTTTAAACAAAAGTCATATGCGAGCTTCTATGTTGCGAGTCCATCGTTCTGCCAGATGTTGCAGACGTTCTCACGCATATGAACTGTAAAAGCACCTGAAATTCAAACTAATCCCTTACAGGAAGAATAGTCTTTCAGTAGCTGCCAATATTACCGAAATGAGAACACCTCACCTGGCTTCGAAATACATTCCGATGTTCGAGGGTGAATCTGTCGTAACAACTGGCTTACATATTGTTTGATGTATTGTTATATGTGAGCGTACTGGAGCACTGAATTTGATTCTATGATGGATTCGTTTAGTAAATGAGGTGTGAGCTGAAAAGCTAGGAAGCGATGAATAGCTGTTTCTACTTATTTGGTCTCATAAGCAGTACAAATCCATCGACCCAACTGGGGATCGAACCAGGACCTCATAGGTAGAACGCAAGCATAACACCCACTCGACCGCCTGGAAGCTAATAAGACCGTTTTTTTAGTCTGCCTTTTCAGATATTGTATATCTGTAAATTTGGTTGGTGAAAAAATGTCAACCGCTTAAAACTGTCGGTTTGGTTCCATGATTTAGCTGAGACGGAGAGAGAGTGTGCTCTCAGGAATGTTGACGATGTTCCTGAATGAGTTAATATCCAGTGAAGCACAGATTATTTTCGTAATCGGGTTATAAGTTCAAATGAAAGAAAAGCATTTCAAACTCGGATGGGAAATTGTTTTATTCACCTTATATGACGAAATGAACAGTGATGTAGACAAAACATTCTGTGATGAAGCAGTTTTGTGTTTCTCAATGAGACCAGTTGGTTTCGTTCCCACTCTACTGCTAACCAGATTTACAGGATTGTCAAGGCGAGGACCACAAATCAAGTTAGGCAAAAAAACTAATCACTACGTAAGGGTTTTAAAAAAGGCTGTTGTACATGGTCTCTGTTAACATAAACAAAACACTGCACTCTGATTGGTCGACAGGGGTAAGAAAACGGAGCGAGAGTAGAGACCAGCTGATTCGACAATTTCATCAGGTGTGCGTAGGCACGATGGACAAATAGGTTCCAAACGTCCACATTTGGCCTTATTTTTAATCGCCGTACTGTTCTACTTCTCCTCTGAGATGAAGCATATGCATCATTTGAATCGCTACCGAGTCACCCTCGGATAATGCAACGCTTAATTAGATTGATAAAAACGTTTAAACATTCAGTGCAACTAAGGTGTTTTGTCCTGACTAAAAAAATCATCAGTGATTGGTATCCTATCCAGCTTGTAATGGTCTTTAATGAAACGCGCAGGATAGGAAACCACCTAAAGTAAACTTATTCAAAATAAATAATAGACAAGTGATAACTCCGAGGAACTGGTTTAATGGGACAATTTGTACGTATCTATATGTAGATGGTGCTAGCCGCCCTGCTATTAATTGCATTGCTATTAATTGTATTTCTCAGTTCGTTTACTGTTTCTGCTATCAGATTGGTTGTAGTTATGATGGCCATAGTTATCATAGATTAGCATGACTCGCCGATCAACCAATCGATTAAAAACACCATTTTAAGGT